TTGATATTTTTTTTACTATTCTATGTTGAACTTTGTAGAAGCAGCTCTTCGTCGTGAAAGCAATTGTCGTCACATCAACCATCCCCTTTTAAATTATTTTTTTTATTTTTATTAACAGTTTCGTGTTACAGCTATGCTTCCAAAATTATAATTTATTTTTTGGACGACACCAACCCACCCCCAACCCCCTTGTTTTCTCCAACTAGATAACCGGATATGTGACTCGGATATTTGGTCTTGTCAAGTCAACAGGTTGTGATACAAAACTGACGTGTGGTGGGCCCGAAGGGAAGATTGGGCAGGGCACGCACCCTATCAGCACCTCGCTCAACGTTAGCACTTTTAGACGACAGAACCTGAGACTGAACACAGCACGACCTGACGAGAAAGAAGTGAATTCTGTCTTGTGTTCGTTGGACTAGATCTAGATCTGATCTATAATATCTAGGCTTGTGCCATGCTCTAGAGTTTAGAGCGGTGCTGCTTCCAGCTCTGAATCTCTTGACAAGCTGAATAGTATATGATATTTTCATCTTTTTATTTGTTTTTACTTTGTAAGGTTTTTTTTTTTTTTTTGCTTAGTTTTGTTTTTATTTTTGTGGAAGAATTAGGCTGCCCTTCGTGTGTACCCAAACTGCTTTCTAGATATCTAGATAGTTGGACTCATTGCAAGGTGTCTTTTAGCCTACTTCATAAAGGACAACTTTGTGCTGTCGATAAACAATTTAATTTACTTTTCAACATTATAACTGAGTGTATTCAACATGGAGATATTACTGACCCCTGGCCTTATTGGGAGGAGGTCGAGAGTCTAGCTACAGTCTCACGAGGCTGGACATCCTGTTCTTTGGACTGTTTGGTGGTTATATCGAACTGAAAAGAAAGAACTTGGTGAGTAAAAGAATGAAAGACTTAACCTAAATATTAAAGAAAGAAGTTCTTCAAAATGTTCGTATAGTGCCCACAAATGACAAAAGGTTCGCATTGTTTTGTAGTATTGTTCTTCAAACACTTCTGTGTCTATGTGTCTCTCCATCCATCTTTCTCTCCTCCCCCCTTTCTCTCTCTCTCTC